CGCTTGCCAGTGGTTGCTCTAGCAACCTGCAGGGAGCAGTGCTGTGGTAGAAATCCGGGGTCCTGGGCACAAGATTCCATCAAGGGCTCCCTCCCTTTGCCCTTGGTTAGGTACATGATCAGCAGCTCCCCAGGCAGGGCCTGCACGGCACCTGTCAGAGACGAAAGGAGCTGCCAGCAGCGACTCGGCCTCCTGCTGTGGTTCAGTCTTGCTCTCTGGAGCCACAAAGAGAGTTAGGCCTCAGCAAACTAAGCAACAGAGACTGCAGCTCCCTTCAAGCAAGTGTCCTGATGTCAGCAGACGTAGAATATTATGGGGCTTGCAAGCTTTGTGATCATCTTAAGGGAGAGTAGGGGATTGAGAAAGAAGGGAGAAATTTTCTTTGCCAGCCCTGGGTAGAAACTTCCAGAAGTTGCCCTCAGACTCTGATTCCCTTCCGTTCAAAATGATTGTGTAGAAAGTCCTGGATGGTAGGAGGGCAAGATTACTTTGAGTCAGGGAAGCCAGCAGAGGCGCAGAGGGGCAAGCAGGTACCGCTGGCACCTCAGGAAACACGGAACAAGGAGCTCTGCTCAGGGATTGCATTCCGTGAGGGCCGGGGACGCCGTTAGAGCCCCCCAATCCAGGCCGCCAGCATCCCCTGCTGGGGGTGAGCTGAAAAACTTCATTCCTCCCTGATTTCCCAATTGTGTTCTGCTTATTAATTATTAATCAAATCTCAGAACAATGTACCCAGCACTCCAGGCATTTGACCCAGTCACAGAAGAAGGCTTGTTTGTGACCGTGGAGGCTGCAGACAGACTGGGGAGAGCCACATGAGGTGTCGGTTACCTACACCCAGCGTGGCCTGGTGACGGGACACACATTCTTGGCTCTGTGTAATGAACAGATGAGAAAGTCTCAGTGTTCTATGGCTGTCTCCGTCCCTGTTCTTTCTGCTCAGAATCATATTGACCAGTTTAAGGTGACTGAGTGGAAGATGCAAGATAGTACAAATGGTTGCTAATTAAATGCAGAAGGCGGGAAAGATACTCTAGCGGCGCTGGCTGGTGCTCGCCTTACACAGCAAATATAACTGAGGCAGTCCCCAGAGCGCTGGCCTCTTTTTTCCCCCTCTCAAAAGGCTCTTTCTTCTGCCTGCTTTTGTCTCCCCTGTAGTTCAGATGGCATCACAGGTGTACAGCCTCGGCCTCAAAGGAGCCATTGTGACCTTATCCGGTCTGGGATCTGCTGAGTGGAGACAGGGACATCCCGCTGAGTTGCATGGCGCCATTACGCTCACAAGGGAAGACCCTGACCGTCCAGGGAAAGTGACTTGAGATGTAGCCAGGCTGTGTTTGGGTGCCTTGTTTGCTCCGCAACACAGCCACCAGTTCCTTTGGGGAGTTTAAAAAAAAAAAAGAAGAAGAAGAAGAAATGACTATCATTATACCAGCAGTCCAACTCCTGGAATTCAGACTCGCCCCGTTTTCCTTCCTGTCTCTGCAGAATGGTATCCTTGACGACCTGTTAGAACTCTGCAGGAGCAGCGGTGTCTGGTATTGATGGCATTCCATGGGGCAGGCTGGGGCTGGCCTCCCCAGTGAGAGGCAGCTGGACCAACACACCTTCCCCCAGGCGGGCAGCCTGTGTCGGGCCTGCCTGCCGCCCTCACCCACCTGTGTTTGCAGTTTCAACTTCCCACCTCCTAGGACCTAGGTCCTCATCCCCTCACACTCCCCTTCCCCCCACGTCTGTGAACTTCACCTGGCAGAGCAGCTAGGCTGCCCAGAAGACAAAGAAGAGAACAGGGAGCGAGTGGCGGCCCAGTACAGCACTTCTCAAGCCGCCGTCTGGAGGCAGGCAGTTATTCGCTGTGCTGTGAAAATAGTGTTCCCAGCTGAGTTAACTGGGAGCTCTGATTGTTCAAAGCCACGTGAGTTTCTTTACTGGAGGGCTTCTCAGAGCCTGTATGACTCTAATGTGCAGTCTGAAAGGGCTTTAGGAGGCAGCGTTGCCCAAACATATTGGACCCCAGGGAATACCTAATAATGTCTCTCGGGACAAGAATTCCACAAACACAGCGGAGGGATGCCGGCTCAGTGTTCAACAGGCTGAGCTTTGGAATCCAGCTTCAGATCAAGTCTAACCGTTTAACCTTGGGCAAGTTACTTCTCTGTTTCCTCTATGTAAATTAGTTTGATAACATCCTCCAGGTAGGTGTTTTGAGGACTAGACAGCATTGGGTACATAAAATGTTAAGCACAATGCCTGGAGCCCAGTAAACTATCAACATTAGTTGTCGTTTAATTGTCCAGCCATCACCCAAAATATGTTTACCTGCTACCCTAGACTCTACGTACAAACACAGCTGACTCCGCTCTGTGTCTAGCCCAGGCACCCTCTGCTCTGTACCAGCCTGCCTCATGCTTCCTCCCCACCCCAAACCACTCTTCCTCCCTCCCTCTGTCACCATCCAGTTACCCAAGCCAAAAGCCCAGGAGCTATCAAAGACTTCCCACAACTCCCATGTGGAGTTGGACACCAAGTGACATCAGTGCCACTTCTTATTTAAGAGATTCTAGGTGGTCCGGTCCTGCCCATTCCCGGGCTCCAGTCCAGGCTGCACCTGTAGCCTGGTCTCCTGTCAGGTCGGATTCTTTGCCATTCTCTCTGGCAGGAGAGCTTCCTTCCTCTCTCGGTCCCCCCAGTAAACTCCTGTTTATCCTTCAAGCTGCAGCTAAGGTATCACTTCTTCCAAAGCCCCTTTGCTCACCTTTGTTTTCTTCCCCAGACGGTTAAACTCTCAGTCAGCTCTAGCACAAGCCTGCCTCTGAGGCAGCACTTCTCCAAGGTGTGAGCCCCTACACCGTCAAGCTCCGGGGCAGATGTTACTTTTTCATATTTAAACCCCTTGGTACCACATCTGACATTTAGTAGGACTGTCAGTACATATCTGTTGAATTAAATTTACTTGAGTTTTCCAAAAAATTTGTCTTCCTTTCAGTGATTCAATGATTCTTTCCAGAGGTATAGCCGGCTAATTGTGTCAAAGGCTTCCTTGGACTGATAGCAGTTGCCCTTCAGCATCTACTGTGTCAGGTACTCCAGTAAATGCTTTATGTACATTAACTCACTTAACCCTGTGAGGGAGGTTCTAGTGTTCGCCCCATTTCACAGACAAGTATTTTGAGGTTGATGTAGCTGGTAACTGACCAAGGCAGGATTCAAACCCGGACTGCATATTTCGATCCAAATCCATGAACTGAGTCTACCTATATTCTCATCTTGACCGTGGTCATCTAGACTTTTCAGAAGTACAATTTTATTGCAAATGCAAGCTGAACTTTCCTGTGAGGAAAACAGTCGAGGGTTTTTGCTTAGACCGGACTCTCTTGAGGATCATCTCCATTGTTTATCTGCACCCATCCTTTAGGTGTGTTGTCCTAAACAGCCCAAAACCAGGAAGAGAAATACAAGCCTCAATAGCTAAGCCCCTGTGGTTTGAGTCTCTCCCCTAGTTTGAGTCTCTCCCCTAAATGACTGGTACTTCTATGCCACATTTTCTCTCTAGAGGAGAAATTTGGATCATTTCTTTAGGAAGCGTTGAGCACTGTTTTGGTCGCAGGCACTGTGCTAAGACTGAAAGTTCTCGGCCCTTCGTGAGCTCACAATCTAACAGGGAGACAACACGCATACACATTCTGACTGTAAAACTAGGTCAGTAAAAAGGGCACTGAACTGAGTCTGGAAGACCTGGATCCAATTCTGAGTTCATATCTGCAACTGCAAAATCCAAAAAGCTATGAAAACTGACCCTTGTTTTTTTTTAAATGTTTTTGTTTTTGCATAACTCCTTTGGAGGCAAAACCTGATCTCTCACATGAAGTTTTATATGCTCATTATTCATTCCACTTAGTGTGATGATTCATACGTTTTGCTGGAAAACAGTGTGTCTGATCATAGAATGCTGCCCCAGCCCCCACCTGGGGTATAGATAATACATGGTTCAGAACCCTGAAGTACATGCATCTCACCCCAAGAGTTTTGGGAAAGGAATGTGAAGTTATACCTTATGATCAATTGAAAAAAATCTGTGAAAAGACTTCATAAACTAAAAAGCCATGAACTCGGGTAAGATAGTCTCATGGTATGATCACTGTGATTGGGAGCATGCAGGATAGAGCACGTGACTTTCTCCAGGGCCAAGAAGAGTGAAAAAAGATGTCTTAGGGCAGCGGTTCTCAACTTGTGGGTCGCGACCCCTTTGGGGGTCGAACGACCCTTTCACAGGGGTCGCCTAAGACCATCGGAAAACACATATATAATTACATATTGTTTTTGTGATTAATCACTATGCTTTAATTATGTTCAATTTGTAACAATGAAATTGGGGGTCACCACAATATGAGGAACTGTATTAAAGGGTCGCGGCATTAGGAAGGTTGAGAACCACTGTCTTAGGGGAAGTAAAATTTGAGTCAGGTTTTAAAGGGTGAATGGAATTTTTCACTTCATAGAAAAGCTGTGTAAAAGAAATTCTGGGCTGAGGCAAGAACATATAGAAAATGCAGAGAAAAACATGTCCTTAAGTAAGTTGAGTGCATGGGCTTTTCAGCTTACAGAAAAACGGATCATCTGTGAAAATGCAAGAGAAGCAGTACAGATAACACCGAGGGGCCCCTAGTCCCCAGTCCATGTGCTCGGGGCAGGGTTTTTCTTTGCAATGCAGGCTTACACGTGCGTTCACAGAGAAACACCATGGTCTGGCATATGCCTCCCTGCTTAGCCAGCTGGGGAGCTGCAGACCTCTCCGCCTTCCCAGGCCCGTCCAGCAAGGATCGAGTCCGCACACCGCTCCTGGCTGGTGCTCGCCTTGCTGCCCTCTGCTCGGTCGGGGGAAGCCACTAACCATCTGGCTTCTCTAGCATCAGACTGCCAGGTTCACATCAGATCAGCCATTTACTACTTTTGGTGGCCTTGAGCAAGTCATTTACCTCTTTTGTGCCTTTGTTCCTCAGGCATAAAATCAGAATAATAGTAGAAAGCTGGCATGGAAAGCACTTAGAAGAGTAACTCACTGGTAAGCACTCAAACAGTAGTTATTATTGTTATTACAGTTAAAAGGATCCCCCCTCCTCCAGCTGTATAAATACATGCATTCCTTAATATTTACCTAAAAAGGAGGGGAAATCCCTTTCTTAATTCTCTCTACCCTGGTCATCAACTTCTTCCTAGCTAACCACTTTCTGTAGAGACTATTTCTATTTTGTTTTTTTATAGCTAGCTGTTTCTCAATCATGGTGAGGAATGGCCCCCCTTAATTTGGTCATAATCTGGCCCTAGCCAGTTTGGCTCAATGGATAGAGCATCGGCCTGCAGACCGAAGGGTCCCAGGTTTGATTCCAGTCAAGGGCATGTACGTCAGTTGCAGGCTCCTCCCTGGCCCAGGCCCTTGTCAGGACTCATGCAGGAGGCAACCAATTGATGTGTTTCTCTCACATCGATATCTCTCTCTGTCTTTCCCTCTCTCTTTCTTTCTCTCTAAAAATCAATCGAAAAATATCCTCGGGTGAGAATTAAAAAAAAAAATTGGTCATAATCTGGTACAGGGATTTCCAGATTGGGATCCCTAGATCTCCAGGGGTCCTGTGGGCAGTCATGTGGATTCCCACACTAATTTCAGGATACCGATACAGAGGAAGGTAAATAAGAGCACTGACTTTAAGGAGAAGCCTTGCTACGGACCAGTTATCTTACCCTGTGTAAATTCCATAATCGCTGGCAGCCTCCATTTCCTACTTTGATAGAATAGAAATATTGCTCTGGCTGGGTGGCTCGGTTGGTTGGAGTGTCGTCTGGTACACCAAAAGGCCGATGGTTCGATTCCTGGTCAGGGCACATATCTAGGTTGCAGGTTTAAACCCCAGTCGGGGTGCGTACAGGAGGCAACTGATATTTCTCTCTCACATCGATGTTTCTCTCTCTTCTCTTTCTCTTCCTCTCTCTCTCTCTCTCTTTCTCACGCTCTCTCTTTCCCTTCCTCTCTCTAAAATCAATAAAACATATCCTCAGGTGAGGGTAAAAAAAAGTATCTATATATGAAAAGTGGAAGTATTAATACTTTCCTCACAGGAGTGTTACATCTTACATCAGATCCTTCAGCGTGGGACATTGTGTAATAAATACCTGCCACCATTAATTTACTGTTAGTATAAGACATTTCTTGAAAATCACACTTTACCCCAAGATGGAGCCTTGGATATAATTAAAAGGTCAGATTTCACAGGGAGTGGATAGTTACATCAGTTTAGTGTGGCGGCATTGTTGCCCAGTGCTAAGAGTCCCTGGTTGGCAGTTCTGTGTGCCTTTATTAAGTAAAAATGAAGAGAAATATTGCTCAACAAGTACATTTGGGCAGAGAAAGCATTGCAGACGTGAAGTCGGGGGCGTGTGGAGAAGGACAAGGAGTCCGGTGGTAAAAGTCACAAGGACCCACCAGTGCAGTACACTGATCAGTGCTTGCTGGTTGTAAGGTCTCCTTTTTAAAAAACAAAAGTAACACATGGACATTGTCACAGGCCTTCCTCGAAAGCCCGTTGGCGTTTTACCCATGAACCAAAGTCCCAGAGGTGTCTAGGGCCCACTGAGACCAAAGGGGGTAGTTATCACATAGACTTGAAGTGGGAGATGCTATTGGAAGTGATGGAGTGTAAACCACCAGCACCTCCCCCGCTTTTACCAATGGAGACACAGGCCTCAAGCAGGAAAGAGACTTGCTGGGGTGGCAGCTGTGCATGGCAGGGCTTCACACCCAGGATGCTCAGCTCTGTCCAGCATCCTTTCTGACAGACCAGGATCCTCATCCAGAAGAAGCACCGCTCCAGGGGGTGAGCCATAGCCACCCAGGGAGTCCTTTCTGATCTACACAGGCCATCTCTCTACTTCCCCCGCCCTCTCCTCTCCCTGTGTGTTTTATGGGGGAAAAGAAAGCGGAGAACAAAGGAGCAGCCCAGGGTGTCCCAGGTGTGCCCGTGCCTAGGAACTAGTTGGAGTGCCCCCATCTGGAGATTTCTGGTTCAGCGGGTCAGAGCGGGACCTGAGAACCTGTATTAGTAAGCACACCAGGTGATCAATAAGCAGGTTGGGGGGAACACAAGGCTAATCCGGGCCAGGGGGATTTTTAACTCTTTTCTGTCGTAGAGTGGACAGTGAGGGTGAGAGGTCACTAGGGATTTCCCCCTTGCAGTCCTGACAGACTTAACCTGCATCCTGTGCTAATTCCTTACAGCTCCTTTCTCTTTTCTAACGAAACCGGAATTCCTGGGCGCACAATGGCAGCTCAAAAATGTTGCTGGCTGACCTACTCTGGGGAGATCATTTGAGCAAAAGATGCCCCATCTAGCCCTGGTCAGTTGCTCAGTGGTTAGTATTGGCCTGCCCACCAAAGGGTCTCGGGTTTGATTCCTGGTCAAGGGCATGTACCTAGGTTGCAGGTTCCATCCCCGGCCCCAATCGGGTCACTTGCAGTAGGCAACCAATCGATGTTTCTCTCTCCCCGCCCTCCTCCTTCCCTTCCATACTGTCTGAAAATCAATGGGAAAAAATATCCTTGGGTGATGATTTAATTAGTTAATTGATGAATTAAAAATTTAAAAAATATGCCTGGTCCAGCCTGGGTGGCATTAACATCTCTCTTTGGCTTTGTGCTTAGACTGAAGAACCTGGAGCTAGCTGCTGTGGGCGGATCAGACGTCCATGTGAAGATGCTGGCGGCCCCTATCAATCCATCTGACATAAATATGATCCAAGGTAACCTTGGTTTCTGTGGCTTATGTTAATTGGCTGGGGTTATTTTTTCTTTTGCTTAGCCACCACCTCATTTTCATTCCTCCTCAAGTGTGGGTGTGAAATTCCTGTGATTAGCAGCAGCTGTTCTCCAGATGTGCCATCTGCAGGCTGTGGAGCCCCCTGGCCTCCCCTCCCTGGGTGTGAGGCTTTTCAAGCGTTAGGGAGGTTGCAGTAGGAGTAAAGCAACCACAGTGATGTGCCTGTAAAATGCTGGGCTCATTGCACACATTATCTTAGCCAGCCTTCCATCTAGTCAGTCTTCCTGGTAACCACAAAAACAAAGGAGCATTGTCCCCTTTACAGGTGTAGGAACTAAGGCTCAGAGCTGGTCAGAGGCAGAACCCAGATTGGGCTTAGGTCTCACTCCAAAGGCCATACTCTCACCGCCTGCGCCTTGTTGGATGACCCTCTGTGCTCTTGTCCCTTAGGTAATTACGGCCTCCTTCCCCAGCTGCCTGCTGTCGGAGGGAACGAAGGTGTCGGACAGGTGGTAGCAGTGGGCAGCAACGTGACTGGGGTGAAGCCAGGAGACTGGGTGATTCCAGCAACTGCTGGTTTGGGTGAGTTTCTCCAGGTCTCAGCAGGCTTTCGTTGTTCCAGATCCTATTTTACCCACACTGTAGATAGTTGCTCATCGGCTCAGCGGAACTAAGTGATGCAGGGCTTATTATTAAGTCCCTATACCTACCCTCCCTCCAGAGGGGTGGGATCGCTCGAATAAGGAGAGCAGGAGGTGATGTGCCTGCTCTCCCATCTCCGTGGGCCGGTGCTGATTGGAGCTGTGATTGTCTGGATCCCTACATCCCTAAGTCCCTGCGGTAAGGTACAATGAGGGAAGCAAAACAGCATCTGCCCTCCAGGAGGTTAAGGACTGATTGAAGAAATCTTCAAACCAATAAGCTCAGTAAAGGGAGTGCTACAGGTTCCCAGGAAGCAGAAGACACTTCTGGCTGCTCTGTGCGCCTGCGTGTGGGGGAGAGAAGTCGTGGGGAGGGACCAGGGCTTCCTGGAGGAGGAGCATTGGAACTGACCTTGGGTAGATGGATGTTGTTAGATGGAAATGAGCCCAAACGGTTGCATGTGGAGGAAACAAACGAGCAAAAGCACAAAGCTGAGTTTGGGAAGTGGTGGGCAATCCCGTGTGGCCTCCGCAGAGGATGTGCACCTGGGAGAGGGTAGCAGAAGTGAGACAGAGGGTCACGACGTAGTGGGGCCACATGAGGGAGGCCCTGAGAAAGCCCCGTTGAGAGTTGGGGTCTTCTTTTACATAGAGCAAGGAGTCATTGCTGAGCTAGTTAACACTTAATGGTTTTTGAGGCACAAACATTATACAGATGGATCCTGACAGCAGCCACGGGAGGGAAGCAGGACAGACATCATCCATCCCATGGGACACAGGAGGACCTGAAGCTTGAGAAGAAGCCCTTGCCCAGACTTAAACATCAAACTGAAGGAGAGCTCACCAGGCTCTTGTCGCCTCTGTTAGGACTCTATGGGTTATAACTTACAGAGAGTCAACTCAAACTTGCTTTACAGAAAAAAAGGAGTTAATCCGTGTGTGGAACTGGGAAGTACAAGAGATGGAAAGCATCAGGCAGAGCTGGACCCAGGGACCCCAATGATAACAGAGCTCTGACTTTTTCTTGTTCTCCTTAGTTCTCAGGTGGGATCTCCCCACACGGTGATATAGTAATAGCAACAAATATTTATTGACCATCCCTTTCCACCAGGCACTTTACATATATTAAGTCATTATTCCCACATGAGGTAAGTACTGTGGCTCCCATTTTGCAGATGCGACAGTAGTAAATGTAAAGAATGAAGCAACTTGCCCAGGGCTATCTAGCCAGTAAGTGGTGGGGCTAAGATTCCAACCCACCCTGCCATAGCCCTTGCATAGATGGCCACCAGCTGCCTGAGGTGTACATCATCCTGAGAACAAACAGATGCGCACGTACGTCCTCCACAATCCCACAGTCCGTTCAGCACAACCATATCCATCCAACTCTGCCTGGGTCCCTGGCCATCCATGAACCCATCCCAAGGTCATGGGGTGGGCCACTCCAATTGCTTAGTTCAGTGGTCGGCAAACTGTGGCTTGCGAGCCACATGCGGCTCTTTGGCCTCTTGAGTGTGGCCACAAAGTTTCAATCGCACTGTATGTGCGCGCCCGCACATGGTATTTTGTGGAAGAGCCACACTCAAGAGGCCGCAGTTTGCCGACCACTGGCTTAGTGGAGTCTCTTGCCCACCTCTGTGGTACAGAGGTTAGGAAGGAGTAGTTCTAGAAAGAAAAAGGTATCTGGCAGGAAAAAAAACAAAAACAACGGTAACAGAAGTCTATTAGAAGCTGTTTGCTTCCCTGAGATCAGGAAAGCTGCCAAGAGTGCTGCACCCTCTTCGACAGCACCTGACAGGGAAAGCCTGGCTGTGTGAGCAAACAGGGCCGCGAGGATTCACTGGATACTGACTGGCGCCCTGGGCCAGCCCCCTGCTGAGTGCAGGGCACGCGTGGTGGGTCAGACAGTCTCTGCCGGCGAAGTGCTCTCGGCTGGGAACAGCCCTTAATACAATGCTGTATGGTAAGTGCTATAACCACAGGATGGACGCAAAGGCAGGAGTCCCCTATCGCGAGCAGCTTTAGGAAAGGCTTCCCAGAGAAGTGCTGCTTGAACTGGGTCTGGAAGACTGAGTAGAAGTGCAGTCAGTGGGCTGGTGAGCAGGGGCGTCCCAGGCTGGGAGTACAGCACATGCAAAGGTCTGGGGATGGCGGAAGGCCAGGCACCAGCAAAACTACAGGTAGCTCAGTTTGGCTGGGTCAGGGAGGGATGGTGGAGAAGCAAGATGTGGCTGGAGAGGTGGGCTGGAGCCCAGTCGTGGAGGCCTCACATCCACAGTCAGAGGGGCCTGATGAAGAGTTAAGAAGAGGACTGGTTTGATCAGACTTGTGCAGTGCAGAGAGGGCTCAGGAAGGCCAGGGGCCCCGTGGAGGCAGGAAGCCAGTAAGGAGGGGGCTGAACATTCAGGCTGCAGATGATGAGTGTCTGAAAAGACAGTTCCATGGGACTGGAGAAGATGGTGGATTTAAGAGCTTGGTAATTATGTTTGGAGAGAGGAACAAAGGACATCTGCCAGGTGTGTGGGTAATTTCATGGGTGGTGGTGGTGGTGGTATCCAGAACAGGGACTTCTCCCTGCAGAAAAGGCGTGTCTTTTAAACCAGGTGCCAGTCAGAGAGGATGAGGGTTTTATAATTATCAGGACTATAATTAGCTCAGTTTATTCAGTAAACATTTTACGAACATCTGTAGTGTGCTGGGCTCTAGCATACAGCAGTGAACAGACACGGTCTTCTAGTTAAGACTGCAGTTTACTAAGAGTGGCAATCAATAGGCAGATAAGTGCTCAGCGGCCTGAATCTTGGTCATCTTTTCATGGTATTGAGCTGCTTAGCTGTTGCTGTGGCCGTAGCCAGATTTTTCCCACATGCAACCCAACTAGTCCCCAGGGCAGCTGGGCCAGGGAATATGCGAACTGACTTTCTCACTGGAAACCCTGCTGAGGCAGCACAGGGCAGGAGAAGGAGCCCTGGCCTGGGAATCAGATGCAGGTTCTCCTTCCACCTGTCCTGTATGATCTTAAGTCACAACTACTTTGAGCCTCAGTTTCCTCATCTCTAAAATGGAGCTAATAGCCGTTGCCTTGCATATCTCAGCTAACTCTTACGCAGCTCAACTGAGGCAATACATGCAGTGACCTTTGCAAACACTCAGTTTCTCTATGCATTAGATCAGGGTTGGCAGACTTTTTCTTAAATGGCCAATTAGTAAATATTTTAGGCTTTGCAACCATCTACCTCTACTCAAGTCTGCCATTCTAAGTGGCCATAAACAATACAAAAGAAGTGTGTCTGGCTGTGTTCCAATAAAGCTTTATTTACAAAAACTGGCAGTGAGCCAGATTGGCCTGTGGGCCATAGTTTGCTGACCTGCGTTAGATGATGGAGATGGTTAAGGGTCCGTTGCACATGCGTGAGGAATAGCTATCCTCAGAGCAAGGGCATGGGACTTAGGACCAGTAAAGGGAACCAAGGGGTGTTACACACCTTCTACATACTAGGCACAGTGATAGTGTGTACAAATGCCATCACATTTCATCTTCACACTACAACATGAGTGCTATTCTCTGTATTTCATAGCTCAGGAAAAGTGAAAATCATTTAGCAAAATCAATCGAGTGAGTGGCAAACAGAATTTTTTTTTACTAAAATCCAAGAAAGTGAAGTGAGAAATTTATTTATTTATTTTTTTAAAGTTTCATTGACAATCAATTCTTTTTTTTTTTTATATTTTATTGATTTTCCACAGAGAGGAAGGGAGAGAGATAGAGAGTTAGAAACATCGATGAGAGAGAAACATCGATCAGCTGCCTCCTGCACACCTCCTACTGGGGATGTGCCCGCAACCCAGGTACATGCGGCCCCAGAAATCCATGTCAACGGCTGAATATCCATTGTTGTGCCATTAAGGGGAATTAGAAGCTCCCCTTGATTTCATGCGTTAAAGCCATACACGAAATGATTGGCACAGAGTACAGTAAGTGATGGCTAAGATGAAGGGGGTGTTGCTTATGAAGAGCGCCCCAGAAATCCATGTCAAGGGCTGAATATCCATTGTCGTGCCATTAAGGGGAATTAGAAGATCCCCTTGATTTCATGCGTTAAAGCCATACACGAAATGATTGGCACAGAGTACAGTAAGTGATGGCTAAGATGAAGGGGGTGATGCTTATGAAGAGGACAGTGAAGATTTTAAAACCAGGCTGGGTGAAGCCCAGAGAATGCCAAGGCCTCCTGGATCCCAGAGGAACCCTTCAGCTTTGTAGCCTCTTATTTTCTCAACCACAGATCTACTCTGGGATTGACACAGCCTCTAATAGTGTTGCTGCCTCCCATCCCCAGTTCCTGTTTCCTAAAGCCCGCGTTGTTTCTCCCCTCCTGCAGCACAATTAGTAATCGCCTAGGCTGCCCCCTACTCCCCACCTGGGACATGTGGTACCAGGATACTGTTTGAATCCCAGCAACTGGATGAGTGCACGCAATCGAGAGCTTTGGAAGTGTGGGCCCAGGGCCCTGAGACAGCACAGCCCTCAGACACTGAGCCAACAGGCTCCCAGTGGTTTCCCTAAGTCACCTTGCGAGTACTTGGCAGAGCCAGGGCTTGAATATGCATGTCTGACTTCAAGGTCTGTCCTCTTCACCTCTGCTATACATGGGATCCTGCTGCAGCAGTGAGCATCTGTCACCCTTCACCCAATGCCCATCAACCCCTGTTGACTCATCTTCAACAGATAATTCGAATCCATCTACTTTCCTTCATCCCCACGGCCGAAGTCTTGGTCTAGGAACCATTGTCTCACATCTCAACCCCTGCAAAAGCCTCCTGATTGGGCCTCCGCATTTCACTCTGTCCCTCGCCACCCCACTGTATTTTCCTCACAGCAACACCGTGACCTTAAAGCATAAATCCGATGGCCTCAGAGTGCCCTTAAAGCTCATTAGAAACTTCCCATTCACCAAAATAAAATCCGTTCTCCATGCCATGACCCTGAGAGCTATGGTTTTCACACTGCAGGTTGTGACCCATTAGCAAAATCAATCGAGTGAGTGGCAAACAGATTTTTTTTTTTTACTAAAATCAAGCAGAATAGAATAAAGAATAAGCCAGTAGGATAAATATTGTTCCATGAAAAATTTGGCTTCTGAGATAGATATACACACACAGATATGGATGATAGATCAATAGATATTCATATATGTGTATGTACTGAGTTACAACATAACTCATGGTTCCTATGGGTCCAGATCATGAAATTCTATAAAACACTCCTTTAGCCCATGACACCTCAACCACATCTTAACCACTCTTCCCATCACTGTCCTCCAGTTCCACTCTTCTATCTGACCTGCCTCAAAGTCTCTGCATATGCTTTCTCCTCTGCCTAGGATGTTCTTGAGTGGCTAACATCCCTGTCCTTTAGCCCTTAGCCTGTCACTTCCTCAGAGAAGCTGTCCCTCCCTGACTCCTATCTAAAGTAATCTCACTGCTGTAACTCTGTCTATATAATTTATAATTATTGTATTTGCTTGTTTGTTTCTCACTTGTTCTACTCCACTAGAAGGAAGGAGGCTCCTTGGCGTAAGGAATGTGTCTGTGTTGTGCAAGTGTCTGGCTCCTAGAAGGTGTGGGGCAGGTATCTGTGGCTGGAAGGGAGCAAGTCACTCCCTCCGATTCCTGCCCTGCTGATGAGGAGGTTAAACGTTGTTCTCTTAAGGGTCTTCTCAGTACTGACATTTTACAGTTCTTTTGTGTGGAACTGGAATGTGGGCTGGAGGTTCTGATTGGTCATTTCTTTCCAGTTTACAGGATTTTTTCATTACCCTTAAATCATTTGATTTGAGCAACAGCTCTTGGAAGAGGCCTGTCAGGCTCTTCTTGCCAATGTCATTTATTTTTAGAGTAACCAAAACTCAAGTGGCTTAGGGATTTGCTCAAACTAGCAGACTGACAAAACCAGGTCCCAAACCTAGGCCTTTGACTTAGACTTTCATGCTTTTTCCCATAATCCCAGCCCAAGTCAAGGTGTGCTAGGTGAGAAGGAGGAGGACTGAGGAGGAAAACGAGGGCTTCTTTTTCTCATCTTCCTGGTAGTGATGACACTGTCTTACCCTCAGAGTCCAGTAGTTTGAGATCCTTAGTCACCTGCTGGGTGACATTAGCTAAATCTAATGGTAACTAACGTAAGAATAACAAAATCTACACCTTAATTATCCTGAGGACTCAGAGACATTCAAAAGGACTTTGAGATTTTCTTTGTCCGCTAAGCATTCTTTGAAGTCCGCTATCCTAGGTGCCCATTTACTGAGGAGGGTGGACTGGGGTTGAGTGTGGAGAGGGGTTCCTCACTGCCCTGAACTCATCTCTTGACTCAGGAACCTGGCGGACCGAGGCCGTGTTCAGCGAGGAAGCACTGATCGGAGTTCCAAGTGACATCCCTCTTCAGAGCGCTGCCACCCTGGGTGTCAATCCCTGCACAGCCTATAGGATGCTGAAGGACTTTGAGCAGCTGCAGCCAGGTAGGAACCTGCAGGTGGGAGCGGCGGCCAGGATCTCCAGACTGGGACCCCAAGTTCCTGACCCTGAAGGCATGGGAACTTCCGGAAGAGGAAGACGGGGCCCCTAACCTGGGTGAATGTGTTGTTGCTTTTGCTTAGAAAGATGTTAGCTTGGTTCCTAGAAAAGATGCTGAAACCTCATGAGGAATACTATATTCTGGAAAACTGCTGAAGGATCACATTCCCAGAGCTTGGGATGGAATCTGTCATTCAGCGAAAACATATCGAGCTGTGCTAAGCAGTGGGGATACAAAGCCAGACAAGATAGACACAGTCCCTGTGTTTTCAGTAAAATGCTGAACTTTCCAGTTCACACGAGTGCCTTTACAAGCGTTACCACATTGAATGCCTCAAATCGTCAAAGCAGTGCAGTGAGGTTGGTACCATTGGTTAAGAGCTCAAGCCCCAGGCTAACAACCTAGGTCTGAACTCCCGCTTCACCTTACACTACCTGTGTGAGCTGACCTCTCAAGTCATTAGGGTTTTTTTTTTATCTGTAAAACAGAGAATAGGAATTTTGAGGGTTAGCTGAAACATTGCAATGTGACACTTAGCACAGGGCATATAGTGCAGTAACCACACTGCTTTTCTTATCCTTTCTTTTATAAATGAAACTGAGGTCCAGAGAGGTAAATTATTTGTGTGAGATCATTTAGCAAGGAAGAGACAAAACCAGGTGCTTTATTTGGGGTTCCCTGAGAGCAGAGTCTGAGACAAGGACAGGGGCACACAGTTCACTGAGGAGGTGGTCCCAGGAAGCAGGAGTGAGGGAGTGGGGAGAGTGAGTCAGGGAAGGAGGAGAAGCCAGTGAAGGCTGGTTGGTGCTGTGGGCGAAATGGGAGTCCTGCTAGGAGCCCTCTAACGACCCTCATAGAACCCATCTCAGAACTAACCTCAGTGGCAGCAGGTTACCCACCAACTCTCATGCCCCATTGTGGGAGGTTTACCTTGCACACGATGCATATCCGCAAGCTGGTATGGCCATGGAAGTCACCCAGGCTAGCTCTGTTAGGCCAACAAGGAAACTGAGGCCAAGAGATATTGGAATATGGTGGCCTCTGCTGCCCAAGGCTGGCTGAAAACCAGCCCCAGCTTCCCACAAAGGGAGAGCAGAGCAGTCCTAGCAACCCATAGTGGAGAAAGCCAGCAGGTGTGACCAGGGACCTTTGCTCAAGTTCTAGTGCAGCAAACACATTGGTCACCTGCATCTCATCCCTTCAGGCCATCCCTGATTTGGGCCACCTCTCTGGTGGACACAGCAGGGCATTCTGACACCACCCACCTCAGGTGCCCAATATATGCATCTCCACTTTCCTGTGTTGGCGCTGGTGTGGCCTAGGCTAGATCAATGTTAAACTTATGATCTTGACCCACATTGAAATCTAACACATAGACACATGAATATATATAAAGGGTGTCCCAAAATTCACGCAAGAAGTAATTTTGATAGAAAACACAGGTTTATAATTAAAAATTGTAAATTTTTTATTGATTCACAAAGTATACAGTATAGGGTTATGTATGAAATAGCACAGTGGGTAAATGGCCTCCACGGCTTTGCTGGCA